TCCGCAGGGGCGCCGGCGGCCCTCGTTCCAGGAACTCCCGCGGCGGCGGCCGCAGGATCAGCATGTTCCGCATGCGCGTGGCGCGGGAGAGCATGACGTAGAGGTGCAGCCACAACTCCTCGTCCGACATGCCCGTGCGGCCAGCGTCCTCGTCTCTCGCGCAGTCGATGGTGACGCCCTTGCGCAGCGTCTGGCCCTGCGACAGCGTGGAGTTCAGGTACGACGCGTGCGTCAGGGTGAACCCCGAGCGGCGCACGCCGTGCGCCCCCGAGCTCTTGCCATGTGAACTTTCTTTCGCTGGGCCTGAACATCAGTAAGCTCCGCGCCCGCGCCTGGGCCTGGCCGTCGTCGTCGGCGTCTTCGGCGCCCTGTCGCAGCACCTCGGCGACCTCCTGGTCGATCGGAGACTCCTTGAAGCCGTGCACCTGCAGCCAGATCCCCTGCGGTAGGAAGCGGGGGCGAAAGAGCTGGCCTGCCGAGCGCTCTTCGTGCCGCTGCTCGTCCTCGTAGTGGAATTCGAAAGACACGATGGTGGCCCGTTGCTCCTGCACGAGCCCCAACTTCTTTTTCAGCTCTTCCTGCGCTGCCGTGAACCGCATATCCATGCCGACGTGGGCAGGCAAGACGCCGTGGATGTCCCCCGTCTTGTGCATGTTCGGGACATTCAGGAGGCGCCGACCCGCGTCGGGATCGCCTTGAATCGTGCCGCACTCGTCAACGGCATCGAGGAAAACGAGGGGCACGCCCAGACGCCGAGCGTCGCGACGAGCACGCGTGTTCATCCACCTCGCAAGCGTTTCCCAGTATATGCCCATGCCGTAGCCGAGCTGAAAGTTCTCGTGCTGGCGCCGAGGGTCCATGACGCCGCGGTTGTCCGTGGCCAACGTTTCCTCCTAGGCGGACCAGACCTCCGGTGGGAAGGGCTTGCCCTCGCGCGTGCAACCCAGGAGCGTGATCAGCGGGTCCCCAGGCTCGAAGCGCTTCGTGCCCTTTCAGCTCGAAGACGCAGGGGATCTGAGAGAAGACTTTGATGGCGTGCTGGATCTCTACCGTCGGCGGGTCCGCGTACCTGTACGATTCGTCGTCGTCCAGGCGATCGTTCGCATCCGTCAGGAGGCCAATGCTGCCGGTGGGCTTCAGCCGCTCGGATTAGTAACGTGATCCGCGGGCCCCATAGGGAGAGGGCTCCCGCTTGAGACTTCCTCGCAATTCACTCACACACGAGGCTGGGAATGGCGTTCTGGCAGCGCGAGAGCCCGAAAGTGCCGATGGTTACACGAATTGGATGACCCGCTCGGGTTAGTAACATGATCCGCGGGCCCCATCGGGAGGGGGCTCCCGCTTGAGACTTCCTCGCAATTCGCTCACAAACGAGGCTGCGAATGGCGTTCTGGCAGCGCGAGGGCCCAAAAGTGGCGACTGTTAGAGGAATTGGATGGCCCGCTCGGATTAGTAACATGATCCGCGGGCCCCATATGGAGGGGGCTCCCGCCTGAGACTTCTTCATAATTCATTCACAGACGAGGCCCAAGGCGAGTGAGTGGGTGAGTGAGTGACTGACTGGCTGACTGAATGAGTGACTGGTGATGATGATGATGATGATGATGATGATGAGGATGATGATGATGATGATGATCATCACACTCTCTCACGCGCACACTCGTCATCATCATATGTGAGTGCTGCTGAGTCAGTGAGTGAGTGAGTGAGTGAGTGGGTGGGTGAGTGAGTGAGTGAGTGAGTGTGCGAGGGATGATGAGTGGGTGAGTGAATGAGGCATGAGTGATGATGATGGTGATGGTGGGTTCCTGTTCCTGCGCGGGGTGTCCGGAGAAAACAAGAACCCCACTTTGGATGTGGGGAATTAAGCCAACAAGCTACCAATACTACTACCACCGCTTCTGCTGCTGCTATCTCGATCACTGCTACTGAACTTGTTCTTTATTATTAACGACTACGGCTACGATTGCTATCACTATTCCATCTAGTTCGAATTCTTCTACTACTGCTGCCATTCGGCGTCGTCGCCACAGTTTCTCGTCTCTGCCGTCTTCGCCGCCGTTGTAACGTCGCTTCGCCGCCAGCCATTATCGTCTTCGTCGTCTTTGTCGTTGTCGTTTCCGTTGCCGCCGCCTGTCGTCGTCTTCGTCGTCGTCGTCGTGGCCGGCGCTGGTAGTCGGTAGTGATACTACCGTTGGCGCTGCTGCTGCCAGCGCTACTGCTGCTACCACTACCATTCTCGCGCCCGCCACGTTACCGTGACCTCGCTACGGGGGCCTGACCCCCCAACCCATCACGAAACGGACGGTACGGGAGAGGAACCTCAGAAACACGCTCTCATTCAAAGGACAGAGACGAGAATGACAGAAACGAGACGGCACCACGATGAAAACATGCACGGGGGAAAGGAAGGACAGGGGCGAAACCTACAACCCAGCGCCCGTCAGGGCTCCCAGACTGGGATGGAAGTCGGGTCATCTCGCTCCCCTGCTCCTCCAAGGGAGCCCGCGCTGGAGCTGGCGGTCACGCCGCCGGGGGCGCTCCTTGGCTGCATCGTGGCAGCAGGCCTGGCCCGCCAGCGCGGCAAGCGAGAGAGCGCGAGCGACACCGATCAGGGACCACGTCGCGGGGGGGGATGGGCCCAATGGAGCCCATCGGCCTCCAATCGCTTACTCGTCGCCGACAGGGGCCTGATAGCCCACGCCGTCCAGGAGTATGCGGCGGATCTGCCATCGGGGGCCGTTTCCATGTGGATGCCCCCCCCCTGATCTGGTCCTTCCCCCTCACAATCTTGTTTCAAGACCCTGAGACTCGGGCGTTGTGTCTTTGGTCGCGTCTGGCGTTTGCGCCTTAGTTCGGCCGCTGGGCCTCGCGCATCGATCTGGCTCGCGAAATGCCGCAAAGTGACTAAGCCTAAGTCTCTGGTCGCAATTTTCCACGACGCCGTTCTTTTCACCTCGGATCCCAGGCGGGTGCTCCAGCTCGTGGAATTCCCAGGCCTCTGGCGGGTCGTTGCTGATGAATCCCTGGGGCGGTCTTCGGGCAACGGGGCCCTCAAACATGAGACCTGTGTGCTGTTCGGGTGATCGCGGGAGTTGCTCACCGGATACGAGTTCAAAGCGGATGGTGAGGTGGGTTGTCTTTGGCCGAGCTTGATAATGCAAAACTGAGTTACGTGTGTTTTCAGGGGATTCGGGGAGGAGGGATCCAGGTTACCCCCCCCCTGAGAAACTAAGAGCGTTTAACGGCTAGGTAAGGCCAGAATTATACCACGCCTCCACATAACCCCCCAGCCCTTGTGCAATCCCGCGGCGATTTGAGCGGGAGAGGGCGACGGGTTGTTTGATCGTCGAGGGTTGAACAGTTCACGAAGTGTCGGACACCACTGCGCGATTCGTCACGACACGTACCCGCTGTCGTCCAGCTGAGCCCAGCGTGATCCTTGGCTCAGTTTGGCTTAGTGGACCTCTTGACTCTGCCAGTCAGTTCTTTATCGCGCCCGCGAATACCTTCCACGACTTGCCTTCCCTGCGCGGCCCCATGCAGGCGCAGGATGAGATAACATCGCGCCAGTGCGTTCGGGGATCCTCTCGGTTGGTTCCAGAGACGGAGGCGGCACCCATCAATACATCGTCCAGATCCGCCGGGTCTTGCTTTCGTTTTGGTGGGGCGACCCAGGGAGTCGCCTCGTCGCATCCCGCCCAGCACCCGAGGCGAGTGGTTCCCCCAGGGGGGAGGTCCTCAAATCACAGGGCGGCCTGCCGTTTTCGCATAGTACCCCATCTTAGAGCACTGGGCGCCGAGGGCGCGGTTAACCCTGGCCTTCCTAGGCAGGGAAGGATGAGGAGGAGGAGGAGGAGGAGGAGGAGGAGGAGGAGGAGGAGGAGGAGGAGGAGGAGGGAGGAGGAGGGAGGAGGAGGAGGAGGAGGAGGAGGAGGAGGAGGAGGGAGGGAGGAGGAGGAGGAGGGGAGGAGGAGGAGAGGAGGGAGGAGGACGAGGAGGAGGAGAAGAGGGAGGAAGAGGAGGAGGGAGGAGGAGGAGGAGGGAGGAGGAGGAGGGAGGAGGAGCAGGAAGGAGAAGGAGGAGCAGGAGGGAGGGTGGGTGTCGGCCGCGCCCCGCGGCCCCAGGCCTTCTGCGCCTCGTGGGCCCGCCGCTCAGCGTGGTGCCGCTGCGCGCCCCCAGGGGGGCCCACCTCGCGGTGCGGGGCGGTGGCGCCGCCGTGGCCGCAGGAGGGGGGCCTTCCGGGCGCCGTGGGGCAAACCTCGCCCTTCTCTTCCTCCATCCTCCTCCATCCTCCTCCTCCTCCTCCTCCTCCTCCTCCTCCTCCTCCTCCTCCTGCTCCTACTCCTGCTCCTCCTCTTCCTCCCCCTCCTTCTCCTTCTCCTTCTCCTCCTCCTCCTCCTCCTCCTCCTCCTCCTCCGCCTCCTCCCTCCTCCTCATCCTCTCTCTTCAAAACCGCATACTGCCCCCGGGCGGGGCCCACCTCAGGAACCTCCGGACATTTTCGGAAGTTTCTGAGCCTTTTTGGGAGTCTGTGAACCCAGGGTGGTTTCCATCCGTGGCGCCCCGCCGGGGACGCTCCTGGGACGCCAGGGCGGCCGCTGTGGAGAGCCGAGTTGTGGACCTGCGAGGCAAATCCAGAGATCCGACGGAACAAGATTCCTCTGAAGTCCACGTGGGCCTTCGAAGATGTAGGTTCATGTATGCAGTCTCTGTCTTCCTTGGTTTCGGCCTCTGGCGCCCGTTGTCGGGCCCTGGTGCCATCAAACACGGACCGGGGACGGCAACTGCCCACGTGGAAGGGGGCGGGATGTTTGGGGCCGCGCTTTCAAACATAACTCATCGCTGTATGTCTGGGAACGTCGCGATGAAGCAACTCCTCAGGGGCAACGTCGATCCCCCGACGCGGGCCCGGTAGCCCACGCCGCACAGAAGAAGGCTCAGGAGCTGTCTCCTCCTGAAGAATCCTCCCTCCATGCCTCGGTGCTCGGGACCTTGTC